GGGAACTGCAGCGAATTTTTCTAAGACGTTTTATCCTGAAATGTAGCAGACCAATGTTGTTGTTTACAAAGCACAAGAAAACATCTAGAATATTTAACCCACAAAAACTAAACTAAACTATCTGATGAAATTCCTTAAGCTAAATTCTAAACTTAGTGTAAATCAATTAGCCAAAAATCTTGCCAGAGCTGTGAACTTTTGAATGTTAGATATTGAGATTAAGGCTTGATCCACTCTTTTTCTTAATTTCGAGATTAAATAATGCTTGATATTCTCTTGTTATCAATCCCAGATTGATTAACCGATCGGGATTAAGGATATCCCATTCTAAAGTTTTCAGCTCAGGCTACATTTGTTGCACAACACTTGCTGGGTCGATTCTACAGAGGTAGTCCAGACTGGACAGTACGACTGAATGCATATGCATACAGTACATGTTGTACCGGCTCGGATCACACTTTTAAATTGGATTGAGTTGTTAAAGGGATGATCAGCGTAATGTTTAAGTTGTTAAAGGGACGGTCAGCGTAATGTTTAAGTTGTTAAAGGGACGGTCAGCGTAATGTTTAAGTTGTTAAAGGGACGGTCAGCGTAATGTTTAAGTTGTTAAAGGGACGGTCAGCGTAATGTTTAAGTTGTTAAAGGGACGGTCAGCGTAATGTTTAAGTTGTTAAAGGGACGGTCAGCCTAATGTGTAAGTGACCTTCAAAGAGTGGAATCTCGATGATTAGTCAAAGGTTAAAACATTGGGAACACTGGGAAGTGGAAATGTCTCTCGTTTAATGAGCAACGGGGATGGTTTTTGACCTGTTCCTAAGTATTGAAAAATGTTTTTAGTTTTTTAGCTTTAAAAAGCTTCTCAAAATTAGATGCTTTAGATGTTTTTTTACGCGTTGCAAAGTTTTGACTTGAATAAGATCAATTAGCCTCGAAAATTAATCATGTAATAATACCAAACTTAAGGAGAACAATATTTTGACACGTTTAAAAGCTTAAATTTAAAGATCAAATAGTATTCCAAACTAGCCTTAGAGGGCGCTTCGCGCCCATCTTCTAAATTAATTGTGAACATGTTCTCTTTGTGTAAATCGTAAAACAAAACAAAAATAATTCGCGGATTTTCACAAAAAATTTCGTGGATTTTCAAAATTTTCAAAAATTTAATGAAGATCGAATTTTGATGGAGACAAATATTTGAAATTTTGATCATTCATAAACCTTCCCTGGGGCTCCATGAGGTCCCACAAAAATTTTGGGCCCGATCGGTTCAGCCGTTTTGACGTTTATTGGATACAAACAAACAGACAGACAAACAGACAGACAAGCCAAATTTATATATAGATAGAAGTTTCTTAATTAACATTTTTTTATTTACTTCTGATGAAGTAAACAATTTTAGCAAATATAATAAAATATATCATTTTCTTTTATATTATCAGAATTAAGAACTTTTGTGAATCTTGAAATCAAGCATTGATCTCTTAACTTAAAGGGACTGTAAAGGAAAAATGAAAGAAGGATGAAACCGAGAATCTCAGGAGTTGATCGAGAGTGCTATCTGATGTTTCTGTCTAGAGAAATTGATATGAAACTGTGTCAAAATTATACCAAAAAGTATATGTGTATTGTGTAAGATTTCGTATAAGATTCGTAGACTTAAACAGATCATATTCAACAAATACACAAACGAAAATATCCCAGAGGAGCCTGAAAAACTCAGACTTGCTCCTTTTATTATTTGAAATTAGTAATTTTTCATGTTTAATACATATAATTGATAATATTTTTTATACGTCCGGATCAAGTCAACAGAAATCCAACCAATGGCAGTGCAGTATTATTATCACGTGACCCATATACTTCACTGCAATTGGAGGGAGTTCTGGTCACGTGATACAGACGTACATCTTACATATACACGTTTTGTTTTTTTTACACAGTTTTACGTCAATTTCTCGAGTCAGGAACATTCGATAGATGTCTTATAGGTATCGTTCAACTCCCCAGATTCTCAGGTTTTAGCATATATCCCCTTTCATTTTTCCTTTACAGTCCCTTTAAGCAGATTTACGGATTAATATTCATTTGATCATTTATCCTTAGATTAAAAGGGCCCACATTGGATATCGAGATCCAGCGTTTAAGATTGACAATACTCCACAAAAATTTTCCAATCTCAGTCCAGATTATCAAAGATTTTATTCTTATCCATAACTGAATATTAAACATTATCTTTAAAGATTTGTCATAAAAAATCGTATTTTTAGCTCTTAATGTTCATTTTAAATAAATCTATTTCATTGTTTCTCAGAGAAAGGTTTAAAGGCACTACTACTATCAATCAATTATGGCACTCTTAAAGGGAACCAGCTCAATGTATAGCATGTCAAGTTCAAGTATAAATGTGCAAGTTACTATTACATTAAACCACAACTTGAAAAAAATCAATTGTATTGAATAAGCTAGAAGTGCAACTTGCAAGGATGTCTCATTCATCTTGGGTCAGAACCTTTGCACCATTTTGAATTGAAAATTTCAATTTCAATTATTTAAAAATTGCATATGAAATATAGGATTGATTGCAATTTTTGTACAACTGATTTAAAGAGAACTATATTTATCTATCATTAAGCAATTAAAAATAATGTTTTCGGTTAAAAAATGCAAGATTTTTATTTGGCCTGGAGTCCCAGGAGTCCCTGGAGTCCCTGGAGTCCCTGGAGTGCCCAACTCAGTAAAAGGGAGAAATTTATTTATTGAAGAATTACTGGTACAAAATTGCGCCCTTGTAACTCCTATTTTTTATTTTACAGCCGAGAGGGAAAAAGGCTAAATTGTTGATTTTAAAACTTGTTTTTTTTATCACTTGCTTTTACCTGGACTATAATAGGTATGTATTTGTATGTATTAAACAAATCAAATCTGCTGAAAAAATATATTATAATTCTATAAAATTTGTTTATTTCACATTAGCCATGGATTATCGTTAAACATAGTTATTAGAATATAATAATTTATGATTAAACTGCCTAATCTGCTAGAATTTTTTATAAAATATACTGCCTAATCTACTAGAATTTTATATTTACAAATATACTGCCTAATCTTCAAAAATTATATACATAAATAAACTGCCTAATCTGTTAGAATTTTATATATAAATAAACTATCTAACTTTTATATACAAATAAACTGCCTAATCTGCTAGAATAATATATATAAATATACTGCCTAATCTGCTAGGTTTTTATATATAAAAAAACTGCCTAATCTGCTACAATAATTTACATAAATATACTGCCTAATCTGCTAGAATAATAGATATAAATATACTGCCTAATCTGCTAGAATAATATATATAAATATACTGCCTAATCTCCTAGAATAATATATATAAATATACTGCCTAATCTGCGAGAATAATATATATAAATATACTGCCTAATCTGCTAGAATAATATATATAAATATACTGCCTAATCTGCTAGAATAATATATATAAATATACTGCCTAATCTGCTAGAATAATATATATAGATATACTGCCTAATCTGCTAGGTTTATATATATGAATAAATTGCCTAATCTGCTAGAATTATATGTAAATATACTGCCTAATCTGCTGGAATAATATATATAGATATACTGCCTAATCTGCTGGAATAATATATATAAATATACTGCCTAATCTGCTAGAATAATATATATAAATATACTGCCTAATCTGCTAGGTTTTTATATATAAATATACTGCCTAATCTGCTAGAACTATATATAAATATACTGCCTAATCTGCTAGAATTATATGTAAATATTCTGCCTAATCTGCTAGAATAGTACTTATAAATATACTGCCTAATCTGCTAGAATTTCGTATATAAATATACAGCATAATATGCTAGTTTTTTATATATAAATATACTACCTAATCTGCTAGAATAATATGCATAAATAAGCTGCCTAATCTGCTAGAACTATATATAAATAAACTGTCTAATCTGCTAGAATAATATATATAAATATACTGCCTAATATGCTAGTTTTTTATATATAAATAAACTGCCCAATCTGCTAGAATTATTAATCTGCTAGGTTTATGTATTAAATATATACTGACTAATCTGCTAGGTTTATGTATTAAATATATACTGACTAATCTGCTAGGTTTATGTATTAAATATATACTGACTAATCTGCTAAAACTATATAATATGCCATTTGAAATATAAGGAAATGTAGCCATGAAAATTATGTTCCAATTCTGAAGACCGGGTTGATTTTAAAGTGTCTCCCGACGTGGCATTAAGTTTTACGTTTACTTTTTGTAGCCCTGGACATTTCATATTACACTTTAGATCTTTAACGCACTTGTTTCTATAGTTAAAAAGCATTTATTAGCAGCAAAATCCTGATCATATTAGCTATGGGGTTTTCTGCAATCAATTAAGATTTTAAGTAAAAAATTCAAAACAAACACCACCTTAGAAAATCTTAGCATTGTTTGAGGGATTTACGAAAAGCACGATAATTTAATGTTTAATTAAACATCAGTTACTTTTATCATGTCTTTGCAGCGTAATTCAAGAAAATATGTTCTTTCCATTACTGATTTTAATTATAAACCTAGATACATTTTAACACGGCCTTCTTTAAATTTTAAATTGACAATTGTTGAGGCAAGAAAAATTTTTTAAAAGAGGTTTTACTACAGCAAATGAAAAACTATTATTATTATAAAGGTATAACACTGTTTAAACCTAACCACTCATAAATTAAGCAGTATATATACATACACATAATTATTGAAAACGGGAAACTGAGAAATTAAGAAATATTTCAAGAATTTGAGATAAACGCATAAAAATAGTAATGTAACACCGCCCATTTAGCCCCCTCGTTTTCTTCTCAATTTTACGATATATTTGCAACATTTCCCCCACAGAAAACACCAGACCCCCAATGATTAATATTTCCTCTAGATAAGGGGGTTCTTTTCCTACCTTTCGATTGGCGAGGTGTTGGGGAAGTATGTCTATGGGTAGAATCACTAACTAATGGTTTCACAGGTTATCTAGGTACCTAGAGAGGAGATGGGGTTCTATAGGCTTCCGGAGTAAAACTTCAAATTGTCCAGAACGGTATTCGAGAATTTTGTTCACATATGTTTTCTCCAGTCTGGCCGGAATTCATGAATTACCGTCGAACTTTTCCCTGGATTTTCGTCCGATTTCGTGGATTTTTTCGTAGATTTGACTGGGAAAGTTGGTGGTTTGGATGATGGTCGGGAAGGAAGAGCTACCTAGAATATCTCATCAGGCCATAAAAGATTGGTCTGAACGCAGAACTAAGGTTGCTAGCAATATTATTGCGCTAGAGTATATTTGCCTCTCTCAAGTGGGCCTGACCCGTCCCGGACAACTTTGTACCGAACCGACACCCATGTAGGCTGTAACTCCCCTCCGGGTGGTCCGGGCACACAGGGCAGAAACGTCGGTCCAGTATGATAAAGTTTGTCCAATGGGAGACGAGAGATGAGATATTGGGGAAATGTTTTCCCGAGTCATCCTGTAGAATATATTCATCATGGGTAGAATGTGATCAATTTTAGGGAAGGTTCAAGTTAGATTTATATAACACGATTATTTTAATTTCCAATTGTAGGAGAAAAGGATGGGTTGGGAGAGGGCTTCCAACATATATTTTAAACTCTTTTCTATTGTTTTTAAATATTCAAACCAAGGGGCTTTTTTCGAGAATTTGTTTTCAAAACCTGTTCAAAGCGATAATTTCGTATCATCTTTCTTTTTATATCAAATGTTTAAAGTCAAGATCAGATTATGAAAGGTTATTAAAATAATAAAACCACAAAATAACATAATTGACGTAAAAGTTAAAAAAGATTTAAACGCCGAATTTTTTTTATTATTGAACCAAATGAAAAATAGTTTTGCTGTACAAAAGTACATCATTACATTATACAAACATTTTTTTTAGAGTAAAAAAGCAGAAGTTCTGCGGTTTACTAATCCCAGACTAGGCCTATTACGGCTTGTGGTTGCTTAACCATGATATTGCAAATTCATTGTATACATATATTTAGAAAATGCAATTGATCGGGAAAAGATCTTAATATTTCGAACAATTTCCAAAAAAGTTCGATTTCTAAAAGTTGAAATTATTTGTTTATGTAAAACATGGTGAATAAGTTCTTAAATAAGACAAATATAATGTGCACTTTAAGATTAAAACGTTCTGTTATTATTATTATTATTATTNCTAATGATCAAAAGTTAACTGATAAATTTTGAAGCACTTTTCTTACGTGCACTAATTTTTAGAAAAATAATTAGATTTACTTCGTTGTAAAAATTATTCTATTATGTTTATTTATTTAGGGAAAGGAAACTGGAAGGATCAAGCAGTAAAAACAGTGCAGTACAGTGAACTTCAGTACAAAATAAAAGCTGTACAGTACAACTCATATCAGTACAGTACAGCAAGAGTACTAATAATAATTCTAACTGCGAAATAATTAAAATAAGGTAATCATCATTAAACTAATCTATTAAATAAATAATTAAAAAATTGTAAAATTGTATTATAGCTTCGTTTTGAATATAAATCAAACAAATATGTTCATACATTAATTACCTTTTTATGATTTATATGAAGGGTGTCCCACGAAACATGACAATTGGGGAATCATTTTGAATGTCTTCTTCAATATACTGTATTAGATATTGAAAACTTTTTGCAGTTTATTTCGTTAACAAATCTTTTACTCCAATATATTTGACTTTGAAATCAATTTTACTGTAAGATGACTCCCATACAATATTTTTTATTATTATCTTTGGTATCAAACAATTAAAAAAATTATGGAAGAAAACATTTTAAACCATTCACTACCTGTCATGTTTCGTGGGACACCCTGTATTAAAACATTAAATCATAATTCATGAGTCAATCAACAATATATTTTTATCGTCACTAATTTAAATTATTGAATTTAGGCTAGTTTTTTTTGTTTACTTCTATTATACTTTGCTTGTCTGTCTGTTTGTTCGTTTGCCTCCAATAAACGTCAAAACGTCTGAACCAACCGGGTCCAAATTTTTTGAGGAAATTCACAAGATCCAAGGGAAGGTTTAGAGAAAGGCTTTAGTTACATAAATTTGTCTCAAAAATATTTATAATATTTAGAACAGAATATTGAAATCCACGAAAAAAAATAATAAATCCTCGAAATTTGTTGTTTGCATTTTAAATTGAACGAAGAGAAAATGGTTAGAGATAGAGCCACAATTAAAAATTTAAAAAGAAGCGGCCTTAAAGCCTAGATTATATTTAAAACATAAGAATGTGTAAGCATTTATAGAAAAAGTAAATATTTCAGTTTGAAAGAATAAATGGGTTTTACTTCCGCTGTTTTTATTTTTGTTTTCAGATTTTCTTCTTTTTTCAAATAAATATTCTACCGCTCTCCTTCACAGTAACTTTATCTTCTGTAGAGGGAGGGAGAGGGGTTTGGTGAGGGGGAGGGGGGTATTGTGAGGGCATAAATTATTCTTCAGTTAAAAAAACTGCATATATGTAAAGGATGAAAAAAACTAAATAATTCACTAAACAGAATGATTGTGTCAATATTGGTACAACATTGTGACCTCGTAGCTCCTATAGTTTTGATTTTATGCTCAATATAATTTGAACAAAATTATTTGGATAAATATTATAAGTTAAAAACAGTTTGTCTCTAGGAATACACAGTTTATAGGAACTCTATTTATCTAGCAGTTTGTCTCTAGAAACATATAGTTTATAGGAACTCTATTTTTCAAGCAGTTTGTCTCTAGGAATATACAGTTTATAGGAACTCTATTTTTCTATCAGTTTGTCTCTAGAAATATATAGTTTATAGGAACTCTATTTTTCTAGCAGTTTGTCTCTAGAAATATACGGTTTATGGGAACTCTATTTTTCTATCAGTTTGTCTCTAGAAATATACAGTTTATAGGAACTCTATTTTTCTTTCAGTTTGTCTCTAGAAATATACAGTTTATAGGAACTCTATTTTTCTAGCAGTTTGTCTCTTGGAATATATAGTTTATAGGAACTCTATTTATCTAGCAGTTTGTCTCTAGGAGTATACAGTTTATAGGAACTCTATTTTTCTAGCAGTTTGTCTCTAGAAATATATGGTTTATAGGAACTCTATTTTTCTTTCAGTTTGTCTCTAGGAATATACAGTTTATAGGAACTCTATTTTTCTTTCAGTTTGTCTCTAGGAATATACGGTTTATAGGAACTCTATTTTTCTTTCAGTTTGTCTCTAGGAATATACGGTTTATAGGAACTCTATTTTTCTTTCAGTTTGTCTCTAGGAATATACGGTTTATAGGAACTCTATTTTTCTTTCAGTTTGTCTCTAGGAATATACGGTTTATAGGAACTCTATTTTTCTTTCAGTTTGTCTCTAGGAATATACGGTTTATAGGAACTCTATTTTTCTTTCAGTTTGTCTCTAGGAATATACGGTTTATAGGAACTCTATTTTTCTTTCAGTTTGTCTCTAGGAATATACGGTTTATAGGAACTCTATTTTTCTTTCAGTTTGTCTCTAGGAATATACGGTTTATAGGAACTCTATTTTTCTTTCAGTTTGTCTCTAGGAATATACGGTTTATAGGAACTCTATTTTTCTTTCAGTTTGTCTCTAGGAATATACGGTTTATAGGAACTCTATTTTTCTTTCAGTTTGTCTCTAGGAATATACGGTTTATAGGAACTCTATTTTTCTTTCAGTTTGTCTCTAGGAATATACGGTTTATAGGAACTCTATTTTTCTTTCAGTTTGTCTCTAGGAATATACGGTTTATAGGAACTCTATTTTTCTTTCAGTTTGTCTCTAGGAATATACGGTTTATAGGAACTCTATTTTTCTTTCAGTTTGTCTCTAGGAATATACGGTTTATAGGAACTCTATTTNATTGTGCACCAGTATCCATGTATTCCTGTAGATACTGTATCCGTCCTATCATGGTATCCTAGTACTGCATTGTGCACCAGTATCCATGTAGGGGTTAGATGCTTTAATCTTTCAAGCCGAGATTAATTTTCCGCATCCAAGATTTATTCGATATTTTTCATATTTTGAAATATTTACAGTCTGCGGACATAAACAATTTGAAGGCCTCTGAAGATGCCTATAAAAATACATATTTATACAAAGATATAAATATGTATGTAAATATAGCTGGATATGTATGTAAAAATAAATATGTATAGCTATAAAATATTTCAAAAAAAGTTAAATACTTGATTTCTTATTCAAATTTAAAAAATTTTAGATTGGTAAATCAGTTTATCCTATTTTCATTTTACAAATCAACCTACTCAATTTTAGATTGGTAAATCAGTTTATCCTATTTTTATTATACAAATCAACCTACTCAATTTGGAACTTTTAAACCAAGCTAAAACATTCCCGTAGTTCTACTTTGTTGCTCAAACAAATCGGTCTTGGGTTTCATGCGTTATGATCGGACATACAAACAGATAAGCAGACCAAATGCAGAAAATGGATTTTAGACTTTAGGGTGCTGTAAGCGTAATTTCAAGTGACCCTCCAATGTATAGAAGAAGGCAATGCCCGATTCACAACGGTACCATAGAATAATAACAAACTATTTTCAATTGTGATTGACTGCAAAAGTGACTTGCGCTAATGTTCTACAGGAAAACATATAGGAATTATTACAATTAAACAACTAACCTTCTACAACATTGACCAGACAAATGCTATCAAGGCACTATTGTGAATCGGGATTTGCTATCCCAGCATGGATGGTCACTAGAATACCGCGTACAGTCCCTGTTAAAGCAAAGTTCTTGTATCAAGTTTGTGCATTCATTATAAAACCTTGTCTTTAATTAATCAATGTTGGTGTTCCCTCCTCGTTGCATCTTTGCAAATTTTTAATTGGCAAACTTGAAACTTTCCCCTTGCAAGATATTTGATATTTATTTCAGTTTCTTTTCATTGATTAGCTGGGAGGGGGGGGGGGGGGTTCGAAGAAAGGTTGGTAGGAAGGATAAAGGTTTGAAAGAATGAATAAGGTTTGGAAGAATGGAAAAGGTTTGGAAGAATGGGGAAGATTTGGAAGGATGGAGAAGGATTGGAAGGATGGAGAAGGATTGGATGGACGGGTAAGAGTTGGAAGAATGGAGAAGGGTTTGGAAGGACGGAGAAGGTTTTGAAGGATGCAGATAGGGTGGAAAAATGCTAGATCCATCTCTATTCTAGAACCATCTCTATGTTATGCCCTATGCTAGGTCCATCTCTAT